GCCCGATGTGGGGCTTGATCCCAGGACCCTGGGATCATGACCTGAGCTGAAGGCAGAGGCTTTAACCCACTGAGCCACCCAGGCGCCCCAAATGTGGGGTTTTTAAAATCATACCTTTTCCTACAAAATGTGAGATTTTCTATAGGCATTTCAAAATGTTGAAACAAACATAAAAGATAATTTCAATAGTAATGCCTGAAAAAATTTCATGTTTTAGTTTAATATCACAGAAGAGCACTCTTCACTGTTAAGATTTATTTAAAATGTTTACCTTAAGCAGCATCAAATTCAAATTAGTCTTATCTAAGTAGTCATCATGGGAAATGACACATTCATTCCATAATGCTGTCCCATTGCTCAAACCAGTTTTAGAACTCATTTGGAGTTGATTTCAAAACTTGTGGTAGAATCTTTGAAGTATCTTCAGTGTTGGAAACATTTTGCTTTGATAGTCAATTTGACTTTTGGAACCCCATATCATAAGTAAAGTAGGGGGTCACACTGGGTTAACACAGGTTCAGGGAAAAGTGCAATGCATTTATGCATTCAGGTCCTTTTGAGGGTGTGTAAGTGTCTACCTTAAAGATGTTTCTGGAGCAGATCTCTCCTGAATATAGGTATCCTCTACAGTCATGTGGATCAGAAACCCAGAAGTCTTCTTAGTTTGCTCTACCTCAGCCCCTGAGCATGACACATCATCAGATTTTCCTGAACATCTCTTGAATTTATCTACTAATTCCACTACCACCATCATCCTAGTCCCCAAGCTATTGTCATATCCTGACAGGGCTTTTGTTTCCTGCCTGATCAATTTGCATTCCTTTACTCTTCTTGCAGAAGGCAAAGACAAATTGCACATCTAATTGCATCTTCCCTTTACCCTCTCTGCCCCTAAAATAAGCATTTATAAAACCTTTCAGTGGCTTTTCATTTCTCTTGGGATGTTACAACTTTTTTCTTTTTAAGATTTTATTAATTTATTTGCCAGAGAGAGTGCAAGTAGGCAGAGCAGCAGGCAGAGGGAAAGGGAGAAGCAGGCTCCCCCCTGAGCAGGGAGCCTGAGGCAGAGCTCAGTCTCAGGATCCTGGGATCATGACCTGAGCCAAAGGCGGACACCCAACAGACTGAGCCACCCTGGCATCCCAGGATGTTCCAACTCTTGAACATGATCTATAGTGCCTCAGCCCCTCTGTGGTCTAGAGCCCTAGCTAATTCTCACACCTCATTTTTCCTCCAAACACACTTGCCTTTTGGTTGCCTATTCTTGCTATTTTCTCCTGCTACTGGGTCTTTGCACCCACTGCTTTCCCTTGTCTGGAAACACCCTCCACTGTTAACTCCCTCTTCAGCCTTCAGCTCTTAGCTTTTGCTTCCTCAGGAAGGCCTTCCTTGATCTCCCCAGTTAGGTTAGGTCTGTGTTACTGGCCCTTAGAGTACCATGTACTGTCCTTTATATTCACTTATCACAAGTTTACAGTATTTGTGGGATTACATGATTAGAAGCTCCATGAGGATTAGAACTGTGTCTGCTTTTGCTTACTGTCCTATGTACCTTGCCTAATGACTGGCAGTTAGCCTGTGGACATTCTGGAAGTACTTGTGGAACGAAGAGTGATTCTGAATGTGGATTGTACACAGGCAGCAGCATCTCCTTTTTGAGGGAGGGGCTTATAAAAATAAGGACATTGTTTATTTTTGTTTTTTGTTGTTGTTTAAAGATTTTATTTATTTATTTGACAGAGAAAGAGATCACAAGTAGGCAGAGAGGCAGGCAGAGAGAGGGGGGGAAGCAAACTCCCCTCTGAGCAGAGAGCCCGGTGTGGGGCTCGATCCCAGGACCCTGAGATCATGACCTGAGCTGAAGGCAGAGGCTCAACCCACTGAGCCAACAAGGCGCCCCAAGACATTGTTTATTTTGATATGGTAAGGATATTGTTCATTTTGACACATAAAGTCTGAAGGTCATCATTTTTGCTTCATAGTGTCTTGTCTTGGCATGTGTTAAACTGATATTATACCAAATTCTCATTAAAAAAAAAAAAGAATATTTTTTTGAGACAGTGAGTGAGAGAGGAGAGAGCACAAGCCTGGGTGGGGGGGGTGGAGGAAGGAGAACCAGAGGGAGAGGGAGAAAAAGACTCCCCACTGAGCAGGGAGCCCAATGTGGGGCTCCATTCCAGGACCCTGGGATCATGAGCTGAGCTGAAGGCAGATGCTTAACCACCTGAGCCCCCCAGGCGCCCCCCACATCTTCATTTGTAGCTTTGATGTTCCTTGCCTTTATTTTCTCAGTCCTCAGCAGTTAGAGAGCCTGCAGTTGAGTTACAAGAACAAGTGTGCTTTGCCTTTAAGGGGCTTACATGAATAACTGGGTAATAACAGTAACTGTTTCCTGAGCTCCTGCTTTGAGTCAGACTCTGTGCTGGGCATTTCACATACAATTAATCCTCATAAGGTTGGAATTGTTACCTCATTTTGCAAATAAGAAAACTCCGACTAAGAGAAGGAAGTTGCCCAAGGTCACATAGCTAGCAAGTGATGGAACCATGATTTCCACCCAGATCTGTGTTATTCTGCCTCCAGTGCGAAATATTCCATTATACTACATAACCTCTCATGAAG